TGAGCCCGGCGGGGCGGCCCCTGAGCATGGAGCCTCGTCGTTCTCGTGGCAGCCGCCCGAGGTCTCCGTCCCCCGCAGGCCGGGCCCAGAAGGCTGCACTAGGCCGGGGCTTGTCCCTCTGGGCTCTGCAGGCTGGGTTATGACCAGTCCAGACCAGGAATGGTCAGCGGGCAGCAGGTTGTCCCTCTCGAGGGCAGGAGCGGGCTCAACCACAGGCCGGGCTGTGTGGAGTCCAGTGTGGGGAGAGCCTGGTGGGGCTCAGCAGCCTGCTCTCACAGTCCAGCAGGCAGGACCGCAGGGCAGAGGCCAGCCAGCAGCCGGGTGGCGAGCAGGCCACACTGGCGGGGGCTCGGGGGTGACTCTGACAGCGGCACGTGGCGGGAGCAAAGGACCAGACAAGAGAGCAGTGAGGCGTCCGCAAGCGGTGCAGGCCGGTGAGAGTGCGAGCGCCGGACAGCCCCACTCTGGCCGCTGCCCCCGCCACACAGCTGCTGCTGGGCCCAGACCCGGCTCGGCTTTCTGCCCTGCCCGACGTACCCCACCCCCAAATTCCCCAAGCCGCTTCACGCCTCTCAGGTCACGGCGGGCCGCGACCCGGAGCGCAGCTGAGGTGGCGTTTCCTGGGTCCCGGTCATCAGCTGACCGCCAGCCTCCTGCTGGGCGCTGTGTTCCTTTGTTCTGTGGGCAGAAAGGCTGCGGGCCAGGGCCGAAACACGCAGGGCCTCAGGACTCGCACGTGGAGCCCCGGCGTGGCGTGGCGTGGCGTGGCGTGGCGTGGCAGGACCGGGCGTCCTGGGTCCTCGGGCTGAGGGCGGCGCGTGGAGCTGCTGAGCGCAGGCCGAGCAGGGGCGAGGTCGGGGGCCTCTGCCCTGCGGTCCTTCCTGCTGGACTGTGAGAGCAGGCTGTTGAGCGATGTTTCTCTTCCGTAGCCTGCATTTGGGCACGGAAGGGGGTCCCCAGGCTCCCCGGGGGCTGCCCTGCAGGGCCCCAGAGCCTCTGCCCGTCTCTCCAGGGGGAGGAGACCCCGCTTTTCTGTTCTTCCCAGTTATTTAATTTCTTTGCTCTCAATGAGCCTTCCCCAGTGGGCCTCCTCGTGCGCAGAGGGTTGAAGCGCAGCACTGTGAGGCCACGGCTTCCCCTACGTCCACCCCCAGCGCGCAGCAGACCCCTCACTGTGCCCTCAGCAGTGGATTCAGTGGATCTGCCGGTTCTGCTCCCAGCTCTGCTCCCCACCCTGTCTCGGGTGAAGCCTCTCACCGCCCCGCCCTCTGGCCTGTACCCCGGTTCTGCGTGCAGAAATAAAAATACGTCTTTAAAAACAAAACCAGAGGCAGAAGCAGACGTCCGCGCCGGCCCGGCGGCGCCGCTTCTCCCTCGGCACCGCGGGCGATGCTGCTTGTGCCTTTCTTCTTTGCTGAATGACAGTTGACCCGTGCTGCCAGGTGGCCGCACGTTGGCGCGACCTGGACACCTAACCTTCGAGACGTGCGTCTGCAGAAAGGGGCTCACTGCGCGGCGAGAGCCTCAGACCCCAGCCCGGCACCCGGCGCCGTGGGAAGGCAGCCTCCCGGCCCGCGGGCTGCGCGCCGGTGCCGCCCGCCCGCCCGGGGCTGACCCACGCCGCGGGCCGGAGGGCGTCTCGCTGCGGCATCCTGGCCCAGCGGCCGATGCCCTGCCGTCGTGGGCCGAGGGCCAGAGCTAGCTCTTGAACGGTCCGGGTGAAGGGTGACTGCCTGGACCAGACAGTACCTTTGTCCTGGGTCTGTTCACGGATGCCTGGACATGGTTGAGGAAAGTCTCACATGTCCACCCCGGCTGCAGCGTGGCCGCCTCGCCATCAGCCTTGTGTGGCGACAGGAGCTAGAGCAGAGAGCCCGCTCCGGGCAGCTGTGGGCCCCGCATGGGTGCAGCCTTAAGCGGTCACTGCAGGAACCCGGCGGGCTCGCAGTCTGCTCCGTGTGGGTCCTGTGTGCCGGGAGCCCTGGGCTGCTGTGGGGAGCTGCTGCGGTGAGGTGTCTGCACTCTCCAGCCCCGGCGGGAGCTCTGGGGCTCTGGGGCGAGCTCAGTGCCCACCAGGTTCCTGGACACTGCAGGTTGGTCCTCGGGGCCCACTGCTGGAGCTGGTGATGAGAGCCAGACGGCAGTTGCTGGCCTGGGTCCCCAGACCTGTGTCTCGGGCTGATGTGCATGTGGGCGGGTTTCGGGGTGCCCTGTGGGCTCGCCCGCTTGTGTGTGTTCTGGCCTCAGCCCGTAGCACGAGCGCCTCGCCTGGGCGGGTCCCCATTATCTCAGGCTCGGGCTTGGGGCTTCGCTGGCTGCTCCCCGAGCAGGTGTGCGGGGTGACGGCTGGCGTCAGCCGGGCCTTTTACGGAGGCGCCGCGGGCCTGCCGGGGGAGGCTTTCTCGACAGGGCGGCGCCCCCGAGGAGGGGCTGGGGCGTGGGCCTGGTCCGCAGGGGCCCCCGAGCGGCGCACCTCTGGGGGGTGGCGCGTGCAGCGCCCTCGCTCCTTCAGGTTTGCGGGAAACTGATAGCTCGATGCGGGGCATGCGGGGTGGGGGCACCTGCAGGGCCCCGGGTAGTCGTCAGCTCTCGCAGGGGCGAGACGTGTGCGGCGTGGAGCGGTTCCGGAACCGCTGCACAGATGTGGCAACACGCAACTCCCACCCACGTCCAGTTGCTGCCCCTCTCGTGCCCAGGCCTTGCGGGGGGTCCTGATGGCACCCTGTGCGGCCGGGGGGGCGCTGGCAGCCCCCTGCCCCATTGACAGGGCCACAGGCCCAGGGAGCGAAGCCAGCGCCTGAAGCCTCGGGCTGCTCTGGGCTTGAGCAGAGGGCAGCGGGGGGCCGCGTCCATGAACGCAGTGTCCACAAAGCCTCACGAGGAGACCCTGCCTCAGCACTTCCTGCGCAGGTGCCCGGCAGCCCACGGCTCGGGCTGGGCCTGCTGGGACAGCCCCTTCAGACGGGCGTGCGGCTTGGCCTGTGCCCGCGGGCCGGGGCCTGCGGGAGACGGCCGGGTGCTGGCTGCCCGGCAGTGAGCGGGCGCCGCGGCTGCAGGGGCCGAGTCCGTGGCACCATCTCCATCCCCCCACGCCTCTGGGCTGCGCTGAGGCTGGCCGGAGGAGAGGAGAGGCCCTGGGCCGCGCGGGGCCCTGGAGGCCCGTTTGGCCTCAGTCTTGATCCCAGGGGAGATTGCGCACATGGGGCGGCGAGCACAGAGGTCGAGCTGCGGAGTCGGCGGGCGCTGCCGCTGTGGCCGGCTGGGCGGACCGGACTGCGTGTCGGGGTGAGGCAGGGCTCCGTGGGGGCTTGGGCTGCGTTTAGCCAAGTTCTGAGCGCAGCCGTCAGCGACGCTCGGTCCTGCTTTACCGTCGCTCGTGTATTTTAACTGCGGT